AAAATATTCAATTTTTGACAAAATCAATTTTTTTTCTTATGTGAATTTAAAAAAAAAAAAAAAAATACCATAGGTACTTTTTCACCAATTGTTATTATATTATCATTTTCATTATATAAAAGTTTTTTCAATATTTTCGTCAATAATAATCTCAAAGCAATCCAAAGAATTGAAAATATGTCTTGAAGTTCAAAGTCCAAAGTACCTTATTAGCTAAAGCCTACAGCTTACCTAATGACCTGCGAATTTGAATCGTCAACTAGACTTGTGACTTGAGGCGTACTCGTTTTAAACAGCAAATCAAAATGACAATAAAAGTATCGATCCGGACCCGTATGGCTTATAGTACTATTGGAAATATAATAATAGGTAATAATATAATAAGCAATGTAATATAAAACTATTGCAATAAGTAATAGACAATAGTACAATATATACGGCGTTACGCGATCTCGATTAAACGATAACAAATTATACGATAAACAAACTACGTTAAACCATAGTAAATATACTTTAAACATGCTTATATAATTTTAATCTATGGCTAAACGAAATAAATATGTAATTATGAATATTTCAGTACTAAGTTAAAGGTATTTTATGTTTTCAAAAAAATAATGTTACTGACAAAAATGTGTAAAATTTTAAAAAGCAATTTCAGCGGCCTCCCGAGAATGGCGCCCTCGACAACCGCCCGAGTCGCCTTACCTTCACGCCGGCCTTGGGCTCAGCACTAGTCAACATTAAATGCAGTTGCGGATATAATATGCAAACTATGTGTATGCACAATAATATTTTATTTATTCAAATGTTTTTGATATTATCACTTGGTGGGAAACTAAATAATCGTTAGAATTGTGTTTAAATTGTTTTATGTATAAATACATAAAATAACCACAGTATTTTGAGTACATATCATAAATATTTAAATAAGAGAATGAGAGTTAACAAGTTTTAACGTTATTATACGCGAAGTGAATCGAGTGCCAAATTAGGTTTATGTAACGTGTCCGGCTTTTATTTTATTTTTACATTTAATTTAATAAAATAAATGACTATTACTTTTTAATATTCATACACTAATATTTGTTTCATAGAATATATATAATTATTATATATATTATATCATTTTATTGATACAATGACGTGTATGACGAAAAATTACAATAATAAGTAGAGTGAGAAGTTATAGGAGCTAAAATAGACAAAATATGCAAGGAAAAATTATGATATACTCGTATATGCATCAAAAATTTGAAAATATGCAAAAAATATATTATAATATGCAATTTTAACATTATTTTGTTTTCGGTTTATTGCGTCGCCTACTTCACCAACTACGTCATCTAATTTATTTTGAACCGATTTAACGATAGATATTGAATCAATTAATGAAATATCTTGTCTTTCAAGTTGCGTAATTCTTGATGTTAAAAAAAAAAACACCTTAATTTGAATGAATAAAAACCAAGTTAGCTTCTATAGAATTTTCACATAGCTATAAACGATTAGATAAGATACTAATCCTATACATTTACTTTTATATACTACTTATTAAATGTTACAATTCTACAATTGTCAAATTTGCTATCTGCGTTTTTATATTATTGATTATTGACTATAAGCTTATAAAATTCCATAAAATAATAAATAATTTTACTAAATATGCATTTGCAAAATTTAAATACCAAATTTCAATTCAATGGGTTATAGAATAGATTTTTAGCTCACTTAGATATAAATAGGAGATACAGAAAAAAATATGCAAATCCTATAACTTCTCATCCCTAATAATAATAAGTATAATTGAAGACGTATCACACGACTGTACAAGTGCTTAACTTGGTCTTTGGAAATTTTCAGTTATTATTTTGTTTATGCTATATCTGTAAAAAAAGTAACTATTAATTTAATAGGTTATTATTTGTATAATATGAGGTATAATATCATGAACACGATAATATTATATCACTACAATTACGTGTTTGATAAATATTACTAGCATTATAACTTATGGCTAAAATATAATACGTACATTTGACTGCCTACCTGTTAAAAAATATTTAATTATTTCTCAGCTATTTAATCTACTTCGTAGTAAAAAGTCAGATTTTATAGAGTCAATCAGTCATCGATGGACGTTTAGTGGAATCGTCGATGGGTTTATTTTTGTCGAACCGAGAGCAGTTACAACTTAAAAGAGAATGTGAACTTTGTTTTTCATTGCGCGGCAACGGTTAAATTTAATAAATCCCTCAATTGGTTTCGAAAATAAACATCTAATAAATTGAAAATATATTGGTAATAGTATCTCAAATGAAGAATCTCAACTCTCAAGGTAATAATAATAATTTTCCCACGAGTAATACTCACATAACATTGTTTAAAATTTGGTTTCTGCTGAAATTTGTGTGTTTTGACGACGATAATATAACGTTCGTATTAGGTACGTCATCGCGACTCCATGATAAGTTGAGAAATAAATTTAAAAAATAACATCGTAGTCGGACTTTTTTTTGTCTTGAATAATACAATTATAAATATTAATCTATTGTGTTCTGTGATTTATCTCAATATAACAAGTTGTACTAAAGTTGACTTAATATTTTTCGGTAATGTGAATCTCCAATTTAACACTAATTATTCAATGAAATACTCAAATACAAAAGCGTTTAAAAATATGCGTGTGATGTCATGGTCTCAGGGTCATTATATTTAAAACGAATAAGACATGTTTAAACTAGTGTAAAATCCAAGTAAATATTGTTGTTTTCTTTTTAAATGTATTTTTTTTTTTTAGTTTGTTATTAACAATAATAGATATCTTTCAAAAAAAATGTTTAACTATTAAATAACTATATTTATTACAGTATTACCACTCTTAATTTTATTCTAGTAATAAACATAATATAATGAGTAATAACACATAGACGACAGACATAAACAAAATACAATTTATATTTATAGTACTCTGTTCATTATTTTATTTATATTTAAAAAAAATACAAAAGAAATAAAAAATAAAATGTAATCTACTTATAAACAACAGAAATAAAGTTATACTATAAAATAAGTAGTCAACCTTCGAAATTTAAATTGAGTAATCAATTTATACAATTATAGTTTATAAAAAATAAAAAAACAAAATGTGTAACAGTAATATTTTACAAGTCACCATTAAGAAAGAACATTTACACTTAAAATATTTAGCATTTAAAATAAAACAACTTGTGTAAACTGGATAAAAAATTAAAATAAAATATTAATAATTGCCACTAGCCTTTGATTCATCAAAATATACTACAAATTACAATATAGCCATTATCCAAGTATATTTTATATTGGGTATATATAAAATATTATTTTAAGTAATTATTTTTTGGAGTTTGAATATTCAAGCTTTTAAAAATTGACAATTATTTTGAGGATTTTTCTACTTTAAGTTGGTTCTGAAGTTTTGAATACACCAATCCAAAGGAAGAAAATAATCGTTATATCCGTGCTGATAACGCTACCGCAAAATTTGTTGAGCGAGTCCAAATAAATTAGGACTGATTCGTTTTTTTATTGAAAACCCCCAAGTAATAGGTAAGTGTCACATTTTACATTTTAAATTTACGTTAAATAGGTAAACATATAATTGGCAAAAAGGAGCTGTGTGAGCTTGATACTGTATAACTTCCGATAATATTGTTGGGTTTCAAACAGTCGAATACATTACTCATCTCTAACTCAGTTATCTTTAGACTTTGATAACGATGACAGGATGATCTAATATATAACTTAACAGATGCTATGGAGTAATAGCAACTTTGTATGATTGTACCAATTTAGAAAATGCTCTAATAGAGTTAAATAATTAACTTAAGAGTTAAAATATTCTTTAAGTTTAATCTAAATATTTATGGTTTCACTGCCTTCACTTATGGTACAGGAGTCAATTACCTGGTTTAATGCGATTGATATTTTCTTTAACTTTATCAAAAATTCTTGAGCATCATTTTTCGTATTAATGTTTTCTACTGTAGCAAGTATATAATTCTAAACTACTATTCTCTTTTCATGAAATATTTGGTATACGAGTATTATTGTAATAAGGTAACTGTTAGGATAGGGAAAAAATTAAATACAAATGAAAATATATAAAGTACTAATTATTTGGCAAAAAACCTTTGGAGTTCAATTAATTTTTTTTAAATACTATTTTAAACTGTTTAAAACTCAAACATTTAATTTTATTTAAAACATCTTTTAAACAAAAAAAAAAAAAAAAATTGTTTAAAAAAAAATACAAGTATTTTCTTTTTTTTTTCAAAACTTAAAAAATACACAAACTCTGCATAGAGCCAAAGTTTGAATGGCGACGTATGTTTTACGTGTAAAAGCGTCTACAATAATACAAAGATTTTAATCATTAAAGAAAATATTTTTTTATTTTATTTTTATGTAATTTTAAGTAATTTTTGTATTAATTGATACTGGTGTGATTCGAATTTTATTTTGATATACTTTCTAGTTATTTCATAGATACATTTATTTTAGTACGTTTCGTAAAATTTGGTGAAAATTAAAATCATTTTATAAATCAAATTATTTTTATACGTAACAAATGAGCGGCTGCTTACTCGTCGGATCGTCACGCGGCTATTCATTTACACTCATTAACTCTTCAAATAATCGCATAAATTCAGATTTTAATCAAAATGTTTTTTATTATTTCAAATACTATAATACACCAATAAAATTAAAATATATATATAGTGTTGTGATGTCCTTTAAGATATTTGAAAATATTTCATTTACTAAGCTATTTTAATAAATAATTATTACCTTCCGAAGGAGGGATAGCTATAAAATATACGTGCTTAACCAAGTTGAAAGACTAATTAAAAATGGGCAGTCTTTCGCCACTCCATCAAATTTTATTCTATTATTCTATGTTTTATTTTTGTTATAAATATAGTTAATATAGTTTTGTACAATAGTACTAAAATACTATTCGTAATGCGTTATACCTAAAATTAATAATGGAAACAAGTGTAGCAGAAACATTTAGAAATGGGATAGTTTTAATCACAGGAGGTACTGGATTTTTGGGAAAATTACTCACTGAAAAATTACTCAGATCTTGTCCTGTCAAAAAAGTCGTTGTACTTGTCAGAAGTAAAAAAGGATTGGATGCTAGTCAAAGGGTTGCAAATATATACAAACAAACAGTAAGTGCAGTATTGTTATTTATAATAAATAAGTGTAACGTTATATCTCAAGTTCAGTCTTAAATAAAAATTTTAAATTTCAATAAATTATGAGTTATTACATAACTTATTTACAAAAATATAGATATAATATGAGTGTTAAAAGTATTTATCATTAATTAAATCATTTTTTTTGAACTCACAATAATTGAAACAAAATATTTAATAAAAATTAATGAGTGTCGAATTCTATTAGCAAGTAATATTTAATAATATGTCTAATAAAAATATATATATATATAATTTTAATATTATGTAAAAAATACAGTGAATAACAAGTGTTAAAATATTATTTTTAATTTTAAACATAAAAAAAACTCAAAAGATAACTTATTAGACATTGGTACAAACATGATAATTTATAAGAGAAACGTTGTGTACAAATGTCTAGTCTTAAGATACAAAACAAAACGTTTTTATTAACATTGAAACTTATAAATATAAAATTTATTTTACCATGATATATTTATTTCGTTTTTAAAATGTTGAGGTATACAATATATAATGTTAGAATACATATATGCATTAAAATTTAATAGATAAGAAATAAAATATTTGTGTTAAACAGATGGAAAATTTAGAAACATTAAAAGTTACAATTCAATGGTTTTTAATTGAAATTAATAACCAGTAAGTATTTTATTTTATTTTTGAACTGAGAATTTTGATTGTAGAAGAATTCATGCGTATGAAAACTAACATAAAAATTAAAATCTACTTTAGAAATTGTGTTATATTCATAAGCTCAACTATGGCCATTATTTTTTCATATAATTTTCTGATTGGATTGGTTAGGAACTATAGCTCTCATATTTATTTTGGTAGAGCAGGATTAAAATATTTGTGACGACTCAAATTTCTCAAGCCACCACCGATTTACCAATAAGACTATATTTTAATTATTTTTCAGGTAATCCTATAAACAACTTAAAATATACGAGTGTTTTGTTGGATATACACTTTTTTAAATATGAATAAAAATGAATTAAAAGTTATATTAATATTAAAAAAGAATAATAATTTATACATATTATTATTATTTTGATTTAAGCAAATATTATTTATTTTTAGTTATTTGACCGAATTCGTCATGAAAAATCAAATTTTATTAAGTCAATTAAAATAATTGAAGGAAATTTAGAAG